GCCTTGACCTGCTGGGCTCCGGCGATCCTTCCGCCTCAGCCTTCCAGGTAGCTGGAACTATTGGCACGCGCTACTACGCCTGGCTAATTTTTGATTTATTGTAGAGATGAGGTCTTGCCAAGTTGCCCAGGTGGGTCTCGAACCCACAGGGTCAGACAATCCACTCACCTCAGCCTCCCAAGGCACAGGATTACAGGCTGAGCCACTGAGCCCGGTTGAGACCTTTTTTAATTTAAAAAAATAAAGAAAGTAGACAAAAGATTTGAGTAGACATTTTTTCAAATAAAATATACAAATGGCCAATAAACAGATGAAAAGATGCTCAATATCATTAGTCTAATGTAAATCAAAATCACTTTGTATTTGCTAAAATGGCTAAAATAAAGACAGACAATAACAAGCATTGATGAGGATGTAGAGAAACTGAAATCCTCATACATTGCTAGTGGAAATGTAAAATGAGGCAGCTACTTTGGAAAACAGTTTGGTAGTTCCTTAAAAAGTTAAACAGGCAGGGCATGGTGGCTCACACCTGTAATCCCAGCACTTTGGGAGGCTGAGGACTAAGGATTGCTTGAACCCAGGACTTCGAGTCTGTAGTAAGCAATGATCACACCACTGCACTTCACCCTGGGTGAGAGAGTAAGACCCTGTCTAACAAAAAAAAAAAGTTGCCGGGCCCGGTGGCTCAGCCTGTAATCCTGCGCTTTGGGAGGCTGAGGTGAGTGGATTGCCTGAGCCTGCGGTTTCGAGACCCGCCTGGGCAACTTGGTGAGACCGCATCTCTACAATAAATCAAAAAAATTAGCCGGGTGTGGTAGCACGCGTCTGTAGTTCCAGCTACCTGGAAGGCTGAGGCAGAAGGATCGCCGGAGCTCAGCAGGTCGAGGCTGCGGTGGCCGGGAGCGGCCACTGCACTCCAGTCTGGGCGACAGAGTGAGACTCCAACTCAAAAAAAAAAAAAAAAAGTTAAACAAGCCTGGGCTACATAGTGAGACCTCATCTCTACAGCAAAATTTAAAAATTAGCTGAGCATAGTGATGTGTGCCTATAGTTCCAGGTACTTGGGATTACAGGCTGAGGTGGGAGGATCCTGAGCCCAAGAGGTCGAGATTGTGGAGAGTCGTGATTGTGCCACTGTGCTCCAGCCTGGGGGACAGAATGAGACCCCAAATCAAAAGAAAAATAAAGTAAGAGTTAATGTATGACTCAGTAATTCCACTCCTTGGTATATACCCAGTAGAATTGAAAGCATATGTTCATACAAAAATTTGTACCCAAAAGCTCATAGCAGCATTTTACATAATAGTCAAAAAGTAGAAAAAAACCCACATATTCATCCATTGATAAATAGATTAAAATGTGTTATATCTATATAGTGAAATATTATTTAGTCAAAAAAAGAATGAATCATACTACTCTATAGATGACTTTAAAAACATACTAAGCAAAGGAAGCCCATCTCAAAGGACCCCATATTTATTTTTTTGAGTGGGAGTCTCACTCTGTTGCCCAGACTGGAGTGCAGTGGCTGCTCCGCCACCGCAGTGTCGACCTGCTGGGCTCCGGCGATCCTTCCGCCTCAGCCTTCCAAGTTGCCAGAACTACAGGCGCGCGCTACCACACCCGGCTAATCTTTGATTTATGGTAGAGATGAAGTCTCGCCAAGTTGCCCAGGTGGGTCTCAAACCCGCGGGCTCAGGCAATCCACTCACCTCAGCCTCCCAAGCCACGGGATCACAGGCTGAGCCACCAAGCCCGGCTAAGGACCCCATATTGTATAATTCCATTTATATGAAATGTCTGGAGTAGGCAAATCCATAGAGACAGACCGTGGAGTGGAGGCTGCCATGGGATGGAGAGTGGGAGGAACAGGGAGTGGTTGCTAATGGGTGCTGAGTTTCTTCCTGGGGGTGATGAAAATGTTCCAAAGTTAGATAATGATGATGGTTGCACGACTTTGTAAAATATGAGGGGGTCTCAAAAATAAACCAGGAATTGTTTTTTGGAGGGCAGGCCCCTTGTACAGGCTTCCCCCACTAGGTAAGTGTTCTAGAAATCCATTTGCATCAGTGTTCCGGCTAGCATTGTGAGAAGCTGCATTCGGCTTCAGTGATTTTTTTTTATTTTTAGATTCTTTCAACATGTTTGCCCATTTCATGATGGGTGATTTATGAGCGCACCTGGCCACACCATGCTGAGTGTTCAGCAGTTTTTGACCAAAAATGGCATGGCCCCTACGCCCCGTTCTCCTTATTCACCTGATCTTGTCCCGAGCAACTTTTTTTGTTTCTTTGGATGACAAAAGCCCTCAAAGGGAAATGTTTTGGTGATGTGAAAACAGCAGAGGCACCGAAAGGCATCAAAATGGACGAGTCAAAAATGTTTTGAGCAGTGGAAGAAGTATCTCGATAGGTGTGTTGCATCACAAGGAGGGGACTTTGAAGGTGACTGGAGTTTAAACTTGAAAGGATAAATAACACAATTTTTAATAAATAAATTCCAGGTTTTGAGGGGTTCCCCTTGTCCTACAAATCTCTGAATTGTATATTTTAAAAGGTGAATTTTGGCCAGGCGCGGTGACTCATGCCTATAATCCCGTACTTTAGAAGGTCGAGGTGAGAGGATTGCCTGAACCCACAGGTTCTAGCCTGGGCAACTTGGTGAGACCTCATCTCTACAATAAATAAACAAACAAACAAATAAATAAAGAGCCAGGCATGGTGGCATGTGTCTGTAGTTCCAGTTACTTGGAAGGATCACCTGAACCTAGCAAGTCGAGGCTGAGGTGGCCGTGAGTGTGCCACTACACTCCAGCCTGGGCAACAAGTGAGACTCCAACACCCCCCAAAAAGTGTGTAAATTACATCTTGATAAAAAATTACACATGCAACTTTTCATTATATTTTATTGAACAATATTGCTCTAGTCTATCAACCCTGAAGCTGGGTACCGAGAGGTACCAGATATAAAGTCTTTGGGGCTGGGTACAATGGCTCACGCCTGTAATCCCAGCACTTTGGAAGGCAGAGGGGAGAGGATTGCCTGAGCCCAAGGGTTTGAGACCAGCCTGGGCAACTCGGTGAGACCTCATCTCCACAAAAAATCAAAAAATTAGCCGGGCATGTTGATGTGCACCTAACCCTTCATAGTTCCAGCTGCTTGGAAGGCTGAGGCGGAAGGATTGCCTGAGCTCAGCAGGTCGAGGCTGCGGTAGTCATGAGCATGCCACTGCACTCTAGCCTGGGCAACAGAGTAAGACTCTGACTCAAAAACAAAAAAGTCTTTGGGTAGCGATCCTGCAGTAGAGAGCCTGTGTTCCAGTTCCATTCATAGATCCCAGTCCACTTATTCTTTTCCTGGCAGCTGAGGTGATCTCTGTGGCTCCATAGGGGTGGCAGAAGTATCACTGATTTATTCCTCAGGTTCGGGACACTCTGATGCTGGCGGACAAGCCCTTCTTCCTGGTGTTGGAGGAAGATGGCACAACTGTAGAGACAGAAGAGTATTTCCAAGCCCTGGCAGGGGATACAGTGTTCATGGTCCTCCAGAAGGGGCAGAAATGGCAGCCCGCATCAGAACAGGTGAGATCCCGCTGTGAGGGGAGAAAAGTGGGAGCCTGGGAGAAATCCATGAGGAGTGCAAACCATCTGCTTGTCTTGATGCAGGGGATGAGGTACCAACTCTCTCTGTCTCATAAACCTGTCAAGAAGATAGACGTGGCCCGTATAACCTTTGATCTGTATAAGCTGAACCCACAGGACTTCATCGGCTGCCTGAACGTGAAGGCGACTTTCTATGATACATACTCCCTTTCCTATGACCTGAACTGCTATGGGGCCAAGCGCATTGTGAAGTGAGTGCATTGGGATTTGCTGGGAGCAGGACAGGGAAGCAATGGGAGAGTGCCCGTCTACTTACATGGACCTCTGCCCTCTCAGGGCCTGGGTCTGGCATTGGTACTGACAAAGCATAGCATTATATTAGATGGTACAGAACTTTGTGATATATCTATATGCTTTGGATTACACTTGTGTATTCTCCTGGTAGAACCTGAGTACATTTCGTTTTTATGATTACTTTCTACTATAGCAACTACATTTTCTTCATCAAAAACAGTAAATTTTCCTAAGTAGTCTCCTCATCAACTTAAAAAAAAGTGAACACGTGTCAAATATTTTATTCAACTAATTAAGGAGAGAACTAACAAAGTTACAATCAGTTCAAAGGAGAATGTAACACCAGGTGTGGTAGCATGGCCTGTAGTCCCAGCTACTTCGGAGGTTGAGGCAGAAAGATTACTTGAGCCCACAGGCTCAAGAACAGCCTGGGCAACATAGTGAGACCCTGTCTCTCTCTTTATTTTTTTAAATGATACATTTATAGATATAAAATTGTATTTTTCCATGGGGCTGGGAGGGATGAAATAATCACCCTTTCATAGGACAGAATTAATTTACACGTCTTACAGTCAAGAATAATTTGTATTGTCTAACGAACGTTTTAAAACTAAAATTTTTTTTTAATTTTTATTTTTAGAGACAGGGTTTTGTTCTGTCACTGAGGCTAGAGTGCAGTGGCACCCTCATAGCTCACTATAGCCTTGAGGTCCTGGGCTTAAGTGATCCTCCTGCCTCAGCCTCCCAAGTGACTGGTTCTATAGGCACACACCATAATGCCCATCCTACTTTTAATTTTGAAAGCCTGATTAAGTATCATAGGAAGCATGAGGGTAAGATAAGCATGAGGGTAATCTGTTATGGTATTGTTTTCCAAATTCACCAGCTCTGGGGTTGCTCTGGAATGTTCTCGCCCCATCAAGTGGATATAGGCACTGAGGCTGAAATGACACCATTAGTCCAGAACTAGGGAGTAGCAGAGCATGGCTTCTAGTCGCTCGCTTCTGCTAGATCCCACTCCTTCCCAACTGCTTCATTTAGTGGTTGCTGAGTACCCACTCTGTGTCTGGCCCTCTGCTGTAAACCCAAGATACGGAGACGAAAAAGCCACCAGGACAAGTTCCATGATGGCAAGCATTTCTGTTGTCTTGGTGAATGCTGGCACATAGTAGTCATTCAAATAACTGTAGAATAAATGAAGACGCACGCGATCCTTGTTCCTGTGAGGCTTCTGAAAAATCCTGCTCAGGGTCCGAGAGTTCAACCCGAACACAAGTAGCTAGTGCACATCAGGCCTTCTTGGCTTCTTCAGTATACCCAATCTGCAGACGAGGCAGTGTGGTTCTGCTTGCCAGAGACAACAGTCAGTCTCAGGCTTGAGCCTGGTTCTGTGGCTGGAAGTTCCATTGTCCTCCAAGTGTATTTCTTCCATGATATCACCATCTCATGTCCCCTCTTGGTCTGGACTTGCTCCAGCAGTTTGCATATTTCAAAATCTAGAGCGAGGAGTTTCAGCTTTTAAACTCAGCCCAATTAGGGGAAGTGGGTCTCTCAAACCTAAACCCAATAAATACGTTGGTATTAAAAAACAAAAGCAAGCTGGAGTTAGCATAGTGACTTAATGGTATCACTAGGTTGTTTTTGTTTTTTTTTTTGAGTTGGAGTTTCACTCCGTCGCCCAGACTGGAGTGCAGTGGCCGCTCCCGGCCACCGCAGCCTCGACCTGCTGGGCTCCGGTGATCCTTCCGCCTCAGCCTTCCGAGTAGCCAGAATTACAGGCATGCGCTACCACGCCCGGCTGATTTTTTATTTATTGTAGAGATGAGGTCTCACCAAGTTGCCCAGGCGAGTCACGAACCCGCGGGCTCAGGCAATCCACTCATCTCAGCCTCCCAAAGGCGCAGGATTACAGGCTGAGCCACCGAGCCCGGCTAGGTTTTTTTTTTAATTGTGGAAAAATACATATAGCATAACATTTACCATTGAGCCATTTTAAGTGTATAATTCAGTGGCATTAAGTACTTTCTCTATGTTGTGCAACCATCACCACCATCCATTTCCAGAACTCTTTCGTCATCCCAAACAGAAACTGCACTCCTCATTCCCCCTTGCTCCAGGCCCTGGTAACCTCTGTTCCACTTTCCAGCTCATCAGTTTCCCTACTCTATGTACCTCATATAGATGGAATCACATAATACCTGTCCTCTTGTGTCTGGCCCATTTCACTAAGCATAATGTTTTAGAGGTTCACCCCGATGGAGCATGTATTAGAATTTCATTCCTTTTTAGGGCTGGTGGGCTACGCTTTTTTATTTTAAATTTTCATTTTAGAGTTGTGGGGTACATGTAAGGACTTGCTACATAAGTAAATTTCATAGACCAGGCGCAGTGGCTGAAGCCTGTAATCCCAGCACTTTGGGAGGCCGAGGCAAGAGGATTGCCTGAGCCTGGGGGTTCGAGACCAGCCTGGGCAACTTGGTGAGACTTTGTCTCTACAATAAATCACAAAAATTAGCCAGCTGTGGTGGGATGCGTCTATAGTTCCAGCTACTTGGAAGGCTGAGGCAGAAGGATCGCCTGAGCCCAGTAGGTTAAGACTGCGATGGCCATGAGTGTGCCACTGCACTCCAGCCTGGGTGACAGAGTGAGACGCCAACTCAAAAAAAAACGAAAAGAAAAGAAAAGAAAATGAAGGTAAGGAAACCCTTCCTTCTAGGCCAGCACGGGAATATGGGGGAGGAGGCATTTAAAGGGATGCAGGGAGGGGAATACTTCTTATTTTTTACTTGAGTGCCTTCTCCTTCCACCCAGGGAAGTTCTTCGTTGGGGCCTCTTTAGCATGCAGGCCACAGGCCACGTGCTGCTTGGCACCTCCTGCTACATGCAGCAGCTCCTTGATGCCACAGAGGGAGGGCAGCCCCCCAAGGGCAAGGCCTCATCCCTGATCCCGACCTGTCTGAAGATACTGCAGTGAAGACCTAAGTCCTTGGAAGCCTTCCCCAGCTAAGGACCAGGACTGGGAATCCCATGCTCAACGGGTAGCACGCACAAGCCTGGCAGCTACAGAGCTTCTTACGTCTCTAGGCCTCCCTCACTGCACAGGACCCCGAATGAGGAGGCAGGAGGAGGGGCTGGAAACCTGGGGTGGGTTGGCCGAAGGAGAACTTCAGGTTCTGGCCCACTCCTTCCTGTCCAAGGTAGCTTCGCTGACTAACAGGTCACCAGCAGGATTTGGCACAAAGTCTGCCCCTCAGCAATCTGTCTCCATAGGCTGCACTTTCATGACACTCCCTACCTCGTGCCACCACCCCCCGTCCTGCAATACTCCTGGGTGAAGTAAGCTCACCAGTATATGACATTGGAGAGTTTGCAATAAATTATTTATGCTGATACGTCTTCTTTGCTTGTGCTCTTTGGGGGTGAGATTCTATCTGGAAGGTTGGAAAGGCTAAGGGAAGAGAAGAATCTGCTGTCACACCATTCTCTATAATGTGGGACTGCAGGAAACAGCAATTTTGCCTCAGAAAAAAAGAGGGCCGAGAGGAGTGGCTCACACCTATAATCCCAGCACTTTGGGAGGTCGAGGTGAGAGGATGGTCTGAGCCTATGAGTTCGAGACCAGCCTGAGCAGCTTGACGAGACCTCATCTCTGCAATAAATCAAAAAATTAGCCGGGTGTGGTCCACATGCCTATAGTTCCAGCTACGTGGAAGGCTGAGGCAGGAGGATCACCTGAGTCTAGCAGGTCGAGGCTGTGATGGCTGTGAGTGTGCCACTGCACTCCAGCCTGGGCAACAGAGTGAGACTCTGACTCAAAAAAAAAAAAAAAAAGCCGGGCTCGGTGGTTCAGCCTGTAATCCCGCACCTTTGGGAGGCTGAGGTGAGTGAATTGCCTGAGCCCGCGGGTTCGAGACCCACCTGGGCAGTGAGACCTCTTCTCTACAATAAATAAAAAAATCAGCCGGGCGTGGTGGCACATGCCTGTAATTCCAGCTACTCGGAAGGCTGAGGCAGAAGGATCGCGGGAGCCCAGCAGGCCAGGTTGCGGTGGCCGGGAGTGGCCGCTGCACTCCAGTCTGGGCGACAGAGTGAGACTCCAACTCAAAAAAAAAAAAAAAAAGAAAGAAAAAGAAAAAAGAAAAAAAGTGTTGTTTTAAGAAAATCATTTTATGGTAGTTTTTAATAGCAGCACTAGGAAACAAATATACTTACTTTTGGTTTTATTTCATCTCACTCTCTCAATCATCTTTATTGGTTCCTGCTTTGCTCTGACTTTTTAGCATTGAATTTTCCTTAGACTTCAGTCTTTGATTTTTGTTTCCTACATGCATTTTTTTTGTAGAAGATTGTGTCAATGCTCTTATAAGATCGTTTTAGCTCCTTTTTTATGAAAAATGTTTTCATGTGTTTAGAGACATATGTAGGTGGAAAGCTTTTATATACTTTCCAGCCAGCACCTGCAGGCCTTTTTTTTTTTTTGGCAAAACATCCCCTTAGTTTTGGAGACTGCTTTGTCTCCAATAACCGTTAAAGGGCTTTGAGAAGTGTATTGACACACGCATAATCATATTTTATATGGATCACTATGACTGTTCTATTCAGAATAAAAAGTACGGGGACAGGGATAGATTTGTGGAGACCTATGAATAATCCATTGCAATATCTCCTCCCTTCACACACACACACCGCACACACATACGCTCGCACATGTGCATGCACACATGAGTTTGACCTCCCATATTGCCAAAAAATAGGGAAGAATATTCTTGTGCATAATATATTTTACCAAGTAATACTTGGAACCCCTAATAATTGCCTCACTATTACATAAATCAGTTTTGGTGGTGCCTGTACCTCGATTTTTCTACACTTGCTTTGGAAAGAGTCTGTGCCAGAATTCTAAAAGACATGCTTTTTGTTCTATAACTGATTTCTCCATATTTTGGTTGATTTCGTCTCATGGTTTTTGCTTCAGGTTTATTCAGTGCCCACCTTTCCTACTGCTTTAATTTTTCTAAACATAGTTAAGACTAGGCTATGATAGTAAAATGTAGATTTCAAGAGAACCGCAACAAATAGTAGATGACTCAAACGCTATCATATGTTAATTGATAGAGAACATGTTAAGAAAATTGTGATATATCCATTCTTGTGGTGCTTTATACCATCAAATACAGGGAATGAGGAAAGCTTTCCAAGTCTTGATATGGAAAGATATCTAAAACACAGAGTTGATAAAACAAGCAAGATACAGAAGTATATGAGTAGTAACCTATCATTTTATTGAAAAGCCAAAAGATAAAATCAGAATTTCTTATTCCATATAAACATAAATGGAAAAAAATTCCAGTCTAGATGATTTTGTGTCAAGCCTGTTTCTGTTCCCTTTTTGATTCATCACTCTGTGGAATTAATCTATGCAAATACTTGGAGAAAAACACTCTTGCTTCCTTAAGATAAATAATAATTTCCTGGAGCAATGCATACATTTAAGAAACAACACAAGTATAGACAATATATTCATTTAATCTTAAGGCAGTATTCTATTAAACACATTCACATTTGTAAAAAATTAGACAGAAGCCTTACCACTGAAGTCTGAAGCAATGGAATTCAGGTTAATAGAGAGTTTGAATATTTTTGTATTGACAAATAACATTTATATGTAGTGATATTTTGGTTCATATAAGGTATAATAATCAGATAGGATAATGAACATAGCCATCATTTCAAGCATTTATCATTTTGTGTTGAGAACATACAATATCCTCCTTCTAGCTATTGCTCAATCTCACTAATCATTAGGGAAATACAAGTGAAACCCACAATAAGATATCACCTCACTCCAGATAGAATCATTATTATCTTTTTAAAAAAAACCCCAAAACACAAACACTGGTAAGAATACAGAAAAAGGGAACTCTTATACACTGTTGGTAGGAACATAAACAAGACAGCCATATGGAGAACCCTATAGAGGTACCTCAAAAAATGTACAAATAAAACTACTCTACAATCTAGCAATCTTAATACTAGAAATTCATCTAAAGGAAAGAAAATTTTCAAAGAGACATCTGTACTCACACATTTATTGCAGCTCCATTCAAAACAGCCAAGATATGCAATCAACCTAGGTATCTAACAACAGATGTATGGATTTAAAAAACATGGTGTATATATAAACAATGGAAGACTATTCAACCATGAAAAAGGGTGAAGTCCTGTCATTAACAGCAATGTGGATGTAATTTGCCGCCATTATGTTAAGTGAAATAAGCCAGGACCAAAAAGTTAAACACCCCATGTTCTCACTCATATGTGGAAGGTAAAAATAGTTGTTCTCATAGAAGTATAAAGTATAATAGAGTACTGTAGAGACTGGGAAGGGTAGGGGAAGAGAGGCATAGGGAGAGGACCCAAAATGACAGCAAGATAAGAATAGTAAATTCCATTGTTCCATACTATTGTAAGATGACTAGAGTTAGTGATAATATATAGTTTGTTTATTATTTTCTGAGTGATATTTATAATTTTATAAATAAAGAGCCTATTTTATAATTTTTATTTTGAAACTAAAGTATATGTCTATAGATAATTGGTTACTCCCCTTTAGAGAGAGAAATCTATAATCATTTTTAATTTAACACCATATTATAGAAATTGTAGAACTCAAAGAAAAAATATAATGAACACTCATGTAGCCATGACTGAGCTTTAACAGTTTTATCATTTTGTCACATTTTCCTTGTTACTTATGATGAATTCATTTCAATAAATTACAGAAATTATTACATTTTCATTTTAAGTACTTCAGAATGTGGCTCTAAAAAGTAAGGATATTTTCCCTCAAGAATACTATTAATCTACAAACTGTTAATAAATCTATAATATTATGAAAGAAATACTGTATATTCACATTTATCTAGTAGTCCAAAAACATCTTTTTTCTTCTTAAGATCTTTAACTTCTAATTTGTTCAGATCACTATCTAATCAAAAACCATGATTAGTATTTAAGTTTGGATATTTTGTTTCTCTTAATTTAGAAGCATTTCCCCTGTTCTTCCTTTTTATTTTTTGACAGTGGCTTGCTGAAAATATTAAGCCAGTTGCTCTGTAGAATAAATGAGCAAACTTGTCAACAAGGGTACCTGCATAATCAATGTTCGTATACTTAACCCTTAATTGTACCCCACATCTTTATAATGAAAAAAAGAATAAATGAACAAATTATAAATGATACTTAGTGTGAAATAATTAAAACCTAATGTTATGTATACATGTAAACATATAAATGCATACACATATACAATTTTATCATGATTTATCTTAATAATTTTAAGTGACCATTTTTGTATATTAATGATCTCTTAAAACATAGTTTTATTTATGCTTCTTATCAGTTTAGACATTTCCTTTCCCTTGAATTGTTTCTAATTTCTTCTTATTCTACCTCATACTGAAACAAACTCCTATCTAGGTAAATATGCCCTCCTTGTTTCTATTTATTTTCCTTTAATAGATTCCCAAAAGTAAAATCACTGGTCAAATATAGGATGACTTATACATTGAAGATAGTTTTCTATAAATAAAAATGTCTTCAACCAACATTAGATTAGGGAGTACCTATGTCATCACATTCTCCTCAGCATAGAATACTATGCTTCTAGTGTGTTTGCATGTGTGTAAAAAATAAAACTTCCTTTTTTAAAATTTGAATTAACTTTACCACTAAAAGAGTGTTTCAATATTATTCTTATGCATATTTATTTATTTTATATTTCTTATTCTATGCTTATTATCCACATATATTTACAAAAAATAATGTAATAAACATATAAAATTTCATCAAATAATATCCAAATAAAATAGAAAATGCCATTAAATTGTTGCCACAGAGAAGATGAATATATCCTATTTTATAGAATAACTTAAAAGACATCAGGCAAATTCTCAAGTCTAGAAAAAATGATATGAATCAGAACAGCTGAATAATAAGCTAATAGAAATAAAAAGAAAAGTGACAGAATTTAGGTATGTGGAGTTTGGTCCGTGAGACCCTCCGCAAAA